CACAGAGATCAGACGTTTACCAGACCAATTCAGATCAGACCAGAGCAGCAAATTTCGGTCCAAAAGAAAACATCCTATATACGGAGTAATAGATACCAGTTTTTAACCCATCTCCATTCTCCACATAGTATAATTAGATTAATTACATGTGTGTTTTGCAAATTTATAATCAATATCAAATTATACATATTATTATTGTCAAGTTTACTATTTTAAAATTGGCTTAAGAGAATAATATTCTCTTTAACAGAAAAAGATTTTATTAGGTCTATCAAACATGCATGTGTAAATAATTTTTTTTTATTTTAGATTATAATTTACTTAATTGTTCAAAGTACTTGTGCGCAATATAAGCAATGCTATTAGTACACATTATGAGTATTTCAATACCTATAACCTCTGTTCTAAAAATCGTTCTAGGCGTCCGACTAGTCCCCGCCTAGGCGCTAGGCGGTGGCCGAGCGCCCCGATTTTCGTCTAGGCGCTCCGATTAGTTGGTTAGCCGTTTAGGTGAATTAGTCGGCCGCCTATGGCGCCTAGTTGCCCGCCTAGAGTACCTAATCGACCGCCTAGGCCGTCTAGATTGGCCGAACATTACTTCACTTTTTAATTTTAATTTTCTAAACGTAAATGTATTTTAACTTTAGCCATGGATATAAAGAAATAAAGTTGTAAATTAAGATAAACCTATATGAATTTATATTTATAACATAATGAAGTTAACTGATTAGTCATATACTATGTATGATTAAATGTGATAATTCTATCATTCATGTTTGTTAATGTGTATGTATATATGTATTTTATACACAAAAATACTATATTACTTATCATATTTATGCAAAAATATAGATAAAAATGCAATTTCTATGTCTCCGACTAGCCCCCGACTAGGCGCCCGCCTAGGCGCTAGGCACTGGGTTGGCGCCCGACTAGCGCCTAGCGCCTTTTAGAACATTGCCTATAACTAATTGTCAAAAGCATGAAAAATGTAATTTAATAACACCATGTACTCCGTAACTTAATACTCATATTTGCTGAGAAAGTAAACTTTTTAATTTAGATGCCTTTGGATTGAATGTTCTAGAGGGGGTGGGAAAGGGGGGGGGGGGGGGATTATAAAAATGGTTTTCTAACTTAGAATGAAATTCAATGGTACGTAGTATAATTTAGTCTAGTTTGGTGTCATGTGAACTGGCTCGGTTTGATTTAGTAGTCTGATAAAAGTCTATTTTATACGTAGTATGTATTTTACCATTGTCTAAGTATAGTCTGGTCTAGACTGATTATGTATGCTCTAGTTTGGAATGTTTAATTAAGTCTCATCTAGTCTGATTTGATTGCGTGAGCGAAATTAGTCAAACTAAAAACATCCTTATATTACAATAAATAAATAACAATAATAACATTACTATTGTAATTATTGTGATACTTGGGATTTTTTATGTAGAATGAAATTTTCTAGCATGTTTCTCTATGTCTGGTCTGGTTTGTTTGGAATGTTTATACTTTACTACTATTTAACTCAAGGTTGGTCTAATCTTTGTAAATCTAGTGTGATCTGTTTTATATAATTCAGCTCTAGTCTAATCTCAAATTTAAAATCAACCTAATTAAGAAACATCATTTTATATGTATCAGAAAGAATGATGCATGAGGCCTCGATCTACTAAAGGTTCAATCACATATGTCAATAGATTTGTGTCATTGAGTGTGCATTAATTAGGTTATAGATTTACCATAAATGGTGCATGGGCGGGAAAACCAAGGTCAACATTTTGTTACTTTATATTATTATTATTATAGATATTATTATTATTATAGATTATTATAGATTGATTATAGATATATCAGTATCGTGTACTGAAAGGCAGTCCTTGATTTTTATAAATTTCAGTAAATCATGTAGTAAGCTCTTTTATATACGTAGTATGTGATAATCTCATCTCTTTATTATACACAATATGCCGCTAATATCGACCATTAAGGATGTTTTCTTTTGCACTGAAATTTGATGGTCTGGTTTGGTCTGATCTGAACTGTTCTGATAAACGTTTGATCTTTGTGTATTTTATAACTACGGAAGTCTGGTATGATCTGATATGGTCTGATCTGGTCTAGGACAGAAAACAGTCCAAAAGAAAACATCCTTAATTTTACCTGTTGTAAATCAAGCCCTTGATGTTAATAACGTGGGAATGAAGTTTGTTGAATTAATAATGGCGGCGATCAAATTACAAATTATTACACATTTAAAGGACAATATTTGCAAAAATAAAAAGAGAGTACTTGCACAAAAATGAGGGGTTGAAAAATGAGTTTTCCCCTATATTTATACCTCTACCGATATCAAATTCTTATAGATCACATATTATTCTCTAAACTCCTTGGTAATTATCTTACCAACTTGATCAGTTAATTTTACATGTAGTTTGCTAAATTAGCTACAAGTATGGTCCGAATGATATATAATTGGAGAGCACGTGTAGAAATAAATCTTGTTCTGGATGGCCTCTAATATTTGCGTCCACATATATGCAGCAAAGTTAACGCTTCACTCTCCACACACATGTCCCGGAGGAGGAGATTGTTGTTATCAGGGGGCAGCCAGTCTTTATCCTGTTTGACCGGCAACCCCATTGACGATTGCTGGCGGTGCAACTCCAACTGGCAACTGAACCGCCAGAGATTAGCAGATTGTGGCATTGGGTTCGGACAGTACGCCTTAGGTGGCAAAGGAGGCCGTTATTATGTGGTGACAGACTCATCTGACTCCGACCCAGTCACCCCACGTCCCGGCACACTTAGACACGCAGTCATCTAGGAGGAGCCGCTATGGATTGTGTTCGCGGCAAATATGGGCATCCACCTCTCTCAAGAGCTCATCTTCAACTCGTACAAGACCGTTGACGGGCGTGGAGCTGATATCCACATCAGCGGCGGTGGCTGCATAACGTTGCAGTACATCTCAAACGTCATCATCCACAACATCCACGTGTACGGATGTTACGAGTCGGGTGAGGCAAATGTGCGGTCAAGCCCAACACACTATGGGTGGAGAAGCAGATCAGATGGAGATGGGATTTCCATCTTTGGGGCGAGGGACATATGGATCGACCACTGCTCATTGTCTAGGTGCAAGGATGGCCTAATTGACGTGGTGATGGGATCAACGGGGATCACGATATCGAACAACCATTTTTCATCTCATAATGAGGTGATGTTGTTGGGCCATAGTGACAAATATGCCCCAGATTCGGGGATGCAAGTGACCATTGCTTTCAATCACTTTGGGCACAATCTCGTGCAAAGGATGCCTAGGTGTCGGAGAGGATTCATTCACATCGTCAACAATGATTTCACGAGGTGGGAAATGTATGCTATTGGGGGAAGCGGTAATCCTACTATAAACAGCCAAGGCAATCGTTACATGGCGCCCTTTGACCGTAACGCCAAAGAGGTAAGCTTTAAATGATAATTTGAATTGTAGTGTGGATTATTAGTTACATATATAATATAGATTGATAAAGGAGAGGGAGGGTGGGATGTTTGCAGATAACAAAGAGAGGAGTGGTCAGAATGGAATTGGAGGAGCGAGGGGGACATAATGCTAAACGGGGCCTTCTTTGTGGAGTCAGGTGACACTGTGGAAGTCAAATATGAGAAGGCCTACAGTGTGGAGCCCAAAACTGTGAATTTCATCGACCAGCTCACCATGAATGCTGGTGTCCTTGTTGGCAGCAGCAGGGGCAAAATGGGCAAATGGATTGCTTCTACAGGGAACGCTAGCATTGATGATGGAGAAACTGAGTTGGTGGCGGATTCAGGAGATGAGGATTATCCCGACGGCGGAAGCTGCAGACTGGTTGACTTTAACCCCATCATCTTGTATTTCTTGACTGCCATGTTAACCCTAGCTACGTTAATGCCCTAGCCCCCCAGCACCATGTAATCATCTTTGATAACCAGTTCTTTAGGACTTGAGAGGGAAGCCAAAAGACAAAAAAATATATGAAGGGCTCTCTCTCTCTCCCTTTTGCAATCCAGTCAGGATTTGAAAATGTCAAACTAGTCATGGACTGAACCGGGCCCGGTTCCCGGTAAAAAAAAAAATCTGTGAGAACCGGGACCGGCCTGGTAGTTGACTGGTGCCAGTCCGGGCTCAGGCCGGGGTAGGTCGGGTCCGGTTCCATTTTTTTTTTTCTTGATTATTTTATCCCCTACCCCCCACCCACCACCCATCCCACAAACCCATCGGAAACACCCAATGCACCCCATTTAAACCCAGCCCAAAGCCCCAAACCAAAAAAAAAATTGAAAAGGCCCGAACCGGGCCCGGAACCGGCCGAGCTGGTTCTCAATTCCCTAAGCCCGTACCCGCCCCCGGTTTCCCCTTTAAACCGAGCATAGACCCGCTACTGGTTCCTGGGCCGGGCCGGGCCGGGCCGGGCCCAAACTGTACCGGGCCGGTTCCCAGGTCGGGTGGCCCGAATTGGGTCCAAGCCTATGTCAAACCCATCTCTCTCCCTTTTGCAATCCAATCAGGATTTGAACATGTCAAACCCACCGTCTTTTTTATTCTCGTTTTTTTAGAATATTGTAGGTAGGGATGGACTGGGACGGGTCGGCCCATCCCGGACCCGGCCCAGCCCGCCACTGTGCAGGCCTGAGTGGACCCGTCGGGCAGTACTGGGTCCGGTACTAGTGGTCCGGTACTGGGACGGGCTTCGAGACCTTGTTTTAGTGAAGCGGCTCAGATAGGTTGGGCTAGGTGTTTTGGCGGGGGTGGAGGGTGGGGGGTAGGAATAAATTTGAAAAGACTAATTTTTAAAAGAAATATGCCCCAACCCGGCCCATTCCCAGTTCAAACCCGGGCCGATATCGGGCCTTCAGCCCAAATCCCCAATCCCTCCCAATCCCGGTCCGGGGCCAAGCCTGACCGAGGCCCGGTCCATGCCTACTGAAGAGCATTCATATTTAATACAATCATGAAAGGATCGTGAACAAAGATATTAAAATAAATAAATACTCCCATTATATGATAAAAAAATACTCCCATTATTGGCCAGCAATTTGTTCAAACGCTTTGGGCTTCTAGCTTCTGATACTTGGGGGTTCCACCAAGTGACAAATCAGGAAAGAAGAAAGAGTATACTAAGGATGTTTTTACTTGGACTGTAATTTGTCCCAGACCAGACTTGGATAGTTATAAAAATACAAAGAAACCAGACCTTACCAGACCAGACCAATTCAGACCAGACCATATCAGACCAGACCAGCAAATTACAGTCTAAGTAAAAACATCCTAAAATGAAACAAAAAAGTCACTTTATACATCAATGGTCATTAGATAGATATATAGCACATATTCTTCAAACAAAAAATAGAAATCTAAGACCGAATTTAGATGGCGCCACATACTTTAGTTTAGCAAAACGTAGGATGGGATGGGGCGCCTATTTCTCTTTTAATATTTAATCAATGCCAATAATGCCTCCATCAGCTTTAACTCCTTCAAACAGCAGCAGCTCTAGCGATCAATGAAGGATTTGTTCATCAAATCAACTGCTGAATCCATGAACTGCCCAATGAAATACATTTACTAACAAGATGATATGGGAACTGCTTGAACTTTACCTTTTGCAATAATATATTTATATACGGCTTCACAGCCTATTTTTCACTTTCTTTACGAACGGGGATGAGGTGCATAATAAGTAATAACAATGTAATATTAAAAAAAGCTCCTATGTTGCAGTGTAGTATATTTTTTTACTAATCCATCCGTCACATTTATGTCATACTTTTCTCTTTGGGTTGACTCAAAATAAATGTCATCTTTCTCATTATTAGTTTATTATATACTCAAACCACAACCACAAATTGTAGTTTTTCATCACTATTAATAATTATACCAAACCAGCACGAGGCACGTAAAAGAAAAGAAAAGAAAAGATGCCTCCAATATTTCATCACTTTTTCATACAGATGCCTACCACATGTCTTTATGTCCTTAAAGTCCCTAAGGTCAGAAAATAAAAGAAAGATGCCCTTCGATATCTTATGCGCCTTTCCTCAGGGGCCACTATCCACAACAAATGCCTTGTGCTAAGAACAAACACATAATTAGCAAAAGAAACAGCTCAGTTGTTTTTCATTTAGCAGGTAAACTATATTACGTTTTCTAATTACCGTAAGTATCTCTGAGATGGAAATTGGAGGTACGTTGAAAATGTAAAAGTAGTACGGAGTAGAATATTAAAGGGCTTAATTAGCGAACCCTCGTGATATACAACATCTGCACATTAGCCCTTTGTGATTCAGAAAACATGTCAAATCCCCTGTGTTACGATTAATCATACACATAGCAACTTGAAGCAACAAATTTAATAATTTGAAAATCATGAGTCTTACTGTTATAATTGAACATGAAAGTAAATTTGTAAGGCCTCTATATAGTAAATTATATGTAGTACAAAATACTAATCGTCTTTCTTTTATTCAGCAATTAAAGTTTTTCTTACATGGGATTTTGCACATGGTTAATTAGGGAAAATGGGCAAATAAGCTCACGTACTAACCAAAAAAGGTCAAATAGGCCCTTATTTAGGAGTCTCTGTCCGGCCGCCGCCATTTGGGGAGGTTCCCGGTGGAATTTTTTGATTAATTTTTTTGAACATCTAATTCATTAAGTCTTGTTTATTCGTACCAAATTTCAGCTAAAACTTCAATCGGGAAGGCATTCAAATGACTTCTTGAAGATATTTGCGCAGTTAAAAGCGCAGTTATATAACCAAGCATTCCAGTCCAGCTGGTTGTGAGGTTACCGTGCTTAGTGGGAGGTCTCGAGTTCGAATCCCGCTAGGCACACAAGGGTGTGAAACTCAATGGAGTGGGTTTCAGCCCTGATTACTCCAGGCTCCCCCCAGCCCCCCTCCCCCAGACCCCCCCTGGAATTAAAAAAAAAAAAAAAAAAAAAAGCGCAGTTATCTTGAAGAAGTCATTTGAATGCCTTCCCGATTGAAGTTTTAGCTGAAATTTGGTATGAGAAAACTAGGCTTAATGAATACGATGCTAAAAAAATTTCATCAAAAAATTCCACCGGGAACCCCCCAAATGGTGGTGGCCGGACAGAACCTCCTAAATAAGAGCATATTTGATCTTTTTTGGTTAGTACGTGGGCTTATTTGCCCCTTTTCCCTGGTTAATTATAACATAAAGAGATTTGACGCATTTTTTAAATCACGAGGGGGTAAATGGGCAGAATATATATATCACGATGTGGGTTATTGGGATGGAGCACTCACTGTAACTGTATAATAAAGATGTGGGCCGACAGGATGACCAAAAAATGGGCAAATAATAGGCTATGACACGAGACTAGTGTACGGTGGCAGATGACAGAAAAGGTGCTAAAACTCGGTAGAACCAATCAAAATCCAGCGAAAACCGGTCAAAATCCGGTAAACCGATCAAAATCCTGTAAAACTGGTCAAGCTCCGGCAGAATAGGTCAATATATATATGGTTTTTTTTTTCTAATCTATGGCCGTGGATCTAAACTCCGAACCCCTCCCACCAGCACCTTTGCAGATATCAGGGATTAGAGAGAAACATACATAAATTGTTGTAGAAGATAAACAGGACGAAGGAGATGTTGATTTTCCTTAGATGCTTTCAATTTCGAACCAAAAGTAACAAGCAAGGTGTAGATTGAGGATGAGGAGTCCTAAGGTTTTCCGATTGAAACTCTAATTTGATTTTGATTTTTAAAAGGAATATAAATGAAGAAGACGATATAATGGGAGAAGAGGTGAGGAGTGGGTGGGTAGTACTATACTACTGTGGGCTGGGAGAATGAAGAGTTTCAAAGTGGTCGGGCTGTGGGGGTGGTTGGGACTTGTGTGTTGGGAAGATAGAGGAGGGGCCACTTGGAAGAAAAATGAAACCGGATGCATACATATTAAATCAGTTGCCGACCAAATACATATGGATGCAGGCACATCTGGAGTATATGATCGACCCGAGTGACCGGTGGGTTGAACCGGTTAACACGTGACTTGGTACTCTAAACATGTCATGGTTTGGTCCGGTTTCTTAAACATAGTTTTTGGTCTATATCATTTAAAAGTGAAGAAATGACAGCATTTTAGGGAAGCACATGTTGCTTTTATTTTTTTATTTCTGCCCATACTATTACACGGAGTAATAATTACTACTGCTATTATAATTGATTATAAACAAACTTCAGAACCAGCTGAACAACTGTCAAGCTACTTCCGGTTCATCTGTAAATTAAGATGATTTATCTTTTAGAAGTTAGAACTAGCTGAAAAGATGCCAAGCTACAAAAGATGCGACTATAAACGTTTAATATACCTCCTAAACATGTAACTTTTTTTAAAGAGTTGAGGGAGTATGTATCTTATCATAAAGTAAGACATTTGTACATATATTTCTATATATGTCCAGTTTCATATACATAAGATAACATATGATAACAATGCACATTGTAAATGAATATATATATATATATATATATATATATATATATATATATATATAATGCACAAATTAAGAAAATAACTACAAGTAATTAGGATAACACAATTTGATTGTTATATTGATCATCATCCTTTTACTATCAACATCATTTGACTTTTCTGATTGATGAGTTCTTAATATTTATAACATTTTCTTTTAATGCATTTACACATTGCATTTGTTTCAAAAGTATCATGTATCATTATTCTAAGCTAATTATAAAACATAATTTCTTACTAATTTTTTCCCCGTGCATCGCACGGGTGAGAATCTAGTAATAAGGGAACCATGTCAGCTTTGAATGCCTACATAGCAAGCTATTCAGCGCTGAGTAAGCAGCAAACACAAGGGTATACCTTTTAAAAAGTACAGATTTCATAGGCTTGAGGGTTCAATTCAAGTTTTTTAAGTCTAGAGGTCTGATTGCACTCTCCCATCTAGTTTGTGGGCTTATTTGGACCTCATCACCCCCCCCCCCCTCCCAAGGAAAGAGGAAAATCCTCACTAGAACATCTTCTTTGCTACTTCATAAAATTGAGGAAGCAGTGAGAATTTATCTTGGGATATTTCCCAAAATATGAGCAAACATGTCACTCTTATTTAGGGCTATTTCTTATATATCTTTTACCTTCCCAATTAGGTGAAGTTGTCGCGCCACGGGTTCCATAAACTTCAAATCCATCACAATAGGCCATACCTGCACAAACCCATGGGTTTTTTCTTTACACCGTCTTATTTGAGCAGAAAATGGAAAAAATTTGAAGCTTCTTAATTAACTCTTACAATTCAAGAAAAATGACAAATCAAGATAAAATGTGAATCAAAATGAACCTGAACTATGTTTAAACTAGGTTTCAATCAATTGCCTAATGCTCCATATTACTTAAAACTGTACAAAAATGGACTAATTCAAAAGATCATTACTGCTGAGACTGAAAAGGCACAAGTTGACTAAGCTGAAATGTGAATTTAAAAAAATCAAATAAAAAGCCAACTGTGCAGTACTCAACAAAAGTAACCAGATATGAATTTAAATATGTAATATGACAAATACAGTAAAAAGAATTATTAATGAAGAGCGAGGGAAGAAAGGACCTTAAGACCAAGTAATTTGATGGGTACAGTCTGTCCTGGGATGATGCATTCCGGTCCAGCTGCCTCCACAATGGCCGCCATTCCTAGCCCACCCCCAATTGGATCAGGGTGCTGCATTTTTTCGAATCTTTTCAAAACACCTACAACTGACAACGAGTCAACGAAACATAATATGAACTTAAGTTAAATAATCACACCTTCATGACGGAAAGGGCATAGTCCGAATAGGGGGTTTGAGTGATGCGAATGAGTGGAGAGTGGTGGATTTTGGGGATGGGTCTAGCGGTAGGGGCGGCCCTCCACGGCGCATCTTTCTGTAAAGGCGCCCCTCTAGACATTGATCGAAGAGGGTTGGATCAGCACGTCTTCTGATCTTTCTGTGTGTTGTAGATGTGGAGAAGAATTTACAACTCTTTTTTTGGATGGAATTGGAGGATTGATATGCGTGCCTGGTAGAGAATAGAGATTAAAAAACCTGCTCTCAAGTTTATAAATTTTAAAATAGGATTGTCATTTTTTTATTCCCAAAATAGGAATAATTACTACCAAGTTTGAAAAATACTGTCATGTTTAAAGTCTGGTACTATCAACACATGACAGTAATTAGTCCCATTTGGAGAATTAAAAACATGGCAGTCCTATTTTGGAATTTACAAACTTTTTTAGTCCTATTTAGGATAAATTCTCATTAGGGAATATTGTTAGCTGTTTATTAAATACTTACTACCTCCCTCCCACTATATTTGGAACAATTCAATTTACGACATTGACTGACGATGGATCAAACTAATTCCTGTCCGCACTCAAAAAAAATTAGAAAATAAAAATTACATATTCTGAAACTGCATTAAAAACTTTACAAAGTTGCAAAAACCTGAATCAAATTTGATAAAAAATATATAAAGTAAGAGATTAAGAGGGATTTGTGTTGGTCAAGTGAATAGTGTCTGGGACAATCTTAGCGGGACGGAAGGAATAGCTGTTTACAATTGGCTCATAAGTTGTTAAATTACTCTTAAGGACATCAATTAATTTGTTTATTTTTTTTAAGGATTAATTTTTTTTGTTTATTAACTACGTACTATATACAGTATATGCTTTACACATTTTGCTAATATTTTTTCTACAACTACTTAACCTGTTTTTATTTAACAAAAAAAGAAAAATTATTAACACAAGTAACAATGATTGGTATGTGCTATGAATATTCCAACCTTAAACCGCTTAACCTCTATGTAGCACCAGTACGGATATGTGGAAACGGGTACTAGGATACGACAAAACCCAAAAAAGTTGGATACGGATACAGGGCCATGTTTATAAATATTAAAAGTTACGGGGTGTATTTATAAATATTAAAAGTTATAAGGGTGTATTTATAAATATTAAAAATAATTTGTTTTTCAAAAAATGCACATATATTATCCTCCGATGTCTATCTATTCATGGCATTGAAACATTTTACATTTTCAAGATACTTAGTGCATCTCAAAAATATATATATATATATAGTGCATCCCGAAATATATATATATATATATATATATATATATATATATATATATATATATATATATATATATATGGGAAAAAGATCAGGTCTGAACGTTCGGACAGGACCCTCCGTCCGAACATCCTCGTCTGGGGTCCTTCCCGGTGTAATTTTTTGATGAAATTTTTTGATCATGTTCCTCATCAAGTCTAGTTTGTCCATATCAAATTTCAGCTCAAAATTCGATCGGGAAGGCATTCAAATCATTTTTTGAAGTTGACTGCGTTTTTATATGTATATTTTGACGCAGACAACTTCAAAAAATGATTTGAATGCCTTCCCGATCGAATTTTGAGCTGAAATTTGGTATGGACAAACTAGACTTGATGAACATGCTAAAAAAATTTCATCAAAAAATTCCACCGGGAAGTGGCCCAAACGTCCATGTTCGGACGGTGCTCGGACGGGGAATGTTCGGACCTGAACATTCCTCTCTCTCTCTCTCTCCCTATATATATATATATATATATATATATATATATATATATATATATATATATATATATATACAGTCAAAGAGTCATTAATTTAAAATGAGAAATAAGTCAAACAACGGATAATTAGAATTAGGCATAGGAGGATGAGTGAATTAGGAATAGGCCCATCAATTGTTTATCACTTAAAAGCAAGGTAAAAGTTATCTTTAGCTTTTCATTTTATTATGTAAATTTTGAGTGTTTTTTTAAAAAAGTTATTTTGGAAGTTTTTTTTATATAAAAAAGTTGATACGTGTATCCGTCAGAATACGAGTATCCAAAATTTTAAAATAATTACCAAAAAATGAAAACTTTTAAAAATTGCAAATACGATCCGGGAACGTACGGTACGAGTATCCTAGAGTATCGGATACGGGAACGTTTTGATACGCTAATACCGCACCCTGGTGAAGTATCCGCGCTTCATAGCTTAACCTCAATAGTCTCCATATTTTTTTATTTAAATATTTTTTTGAAAAAAATGATTTTTTAATATCATTTTACGATTTTATTATAAATTAAAATATTTTTATTTACTTTTTGTTTTTATTAAAAATTAAAATATGATTTTTCTATTAGGTTATGGTAATGGTTGAAAACCTAATCGGTGTCGTGGAAACCAAGACCGTCAAAAACCTAATTGGTACCCGACCAATAAGTAATTAATAATTCTACATAGTTTCTTTTTTAATTTTAATTTGAAATTTTTGGATTTTACAGAAATTAAAAAGTTTGAGAATATTTAAATTTTACTCCGTAATTATTAAACCAGGCTGTGGAATCTCTTATGTTTCGTACTCATTTTTTTTTTAAAGCTAACTCTATTATTTGACACATCTGTGCCCATCCAATTCCAGATCCGGCGTCTCTGTCTTGGTGAAGGAGAAAAATGAATGCTAAAAGATTAGGGGGAGTTTGGTTAATGACCTATCAATCATATTTTGGCCGATTTGATTATTTTTTGGTTTTTTGACCAGATATACAACTTATAGAGGTGTTTGATTAATTAGCTTTTTCTCTTAGCTTTTTATCTCAAACCGCCAAAATTAGAAAAACTGATAAACCTGTAGGGTGTGTTTCGGAAAATAAAGAAAATTAATTAAAATAAATTAATTAAAATGACCAAAGAAAAACAAGAAATGAGATGGAGCAGAATTTAACCAAAGCTCGTGCTACGCACGATGTCCTTAAAACGTATTTGTTGCCTCCCACGGTGCTAGGAGCGTCGCAACAATCGTTTCCCAGGATACGATGACTACGAACTAGTGTTTGAGCACGCAAACAAAAGTTCCAGCGAACGAGAACAAAGACTGAACACTAAGAAAATTTTCAGAGAGACTGGAGGGGTTTTTCGCTGAAGAAATACGTGAGGAATGTGTATTAGCGTGTAAGAACATATGTGTTGTTGCAAACCACCTGCCAGTCATTATATATGAGGATTTGTTGTGTGTAAATGGTGAATTAATGTACATGAACGTTGGACATCAATGGTCAGTCCGTTGGGCATTGAATCGTCCATGAACTGTCCATTTAATGCTGCATTAAAAGATAAGAACGTTGGACATTTATTGTTGTAACGGTTCAGAACGTCCAGCTGCGCGACCAGAAGACCCCCCAACAGAACGCCCTACGAGGGGTTCTGTTCGAAGCCAACAGAACACCCCAAGTCGCAGGTCGCCCGCGCACGCAAGTCGCAGCTTTTCTTCTCCGATTTCGGGATTTGATTTGCACCCCACCCCCACCCCCACCCCCCACCCCCGCGCGCGTGGAGAGAGCCTTTACCCTTAGGAATCTTAACTCCTTAAGGGGGGGGTCCCTTTATAAAGGGTTGCAAATCCCTTGGGTTTCCGGTGTGGGAAATAACATACTAGAAACTCATCCTTATTCCCAGTTTTTCCATTCTAACGGGTTAAACTTTGAGAATCAATTTCTCATTCACCCGTTATCCGTTTTGAGCGTACCATATATCGAATTGTAGCCCTTAACAAGGACAATCCGAAACCACTTTGACCCGACCCAATTCGGAAGTGGACCCCACTCAAAAAATTGCCCCAAAATTACCACTTAATGTAATTTTTCACACATTTTTCCAACAAAACCTAGTGTTTCAGTGTTCGGACCGTTTAATATCTATGACAAATTCTTATTCTTCTACATTCACTTTAATTTTTTTTAATAATCTGTTTCCATTTGCAAATCAGTAATTTTGAAATAAATAAAACCAAACCTTTTAAAACAGCAGATCCAACTATGATTTCAATTGTTGTTTTGATGTTTAAGCCTTAAGCCAACATATTCTTTTGGACTTTCTAATTTTTCTGTGGATTTCAAGTATTTAGTGCGTGATTTAGAAATTATGAAGACAGAAGTAAGCGATTAACTTGGAGACAAAGTAATTTTAATGGCTCATTTAAACCTGTGTTTCAATACACTAACGGTACTTTCTATGGTACCCATATTCTTTTTAGGGCACTGTGCCTTGCTTATGTGGCCAAATAAACATTTGACAAGCGGACAAGCAATATAATGATCGAGATTTGTATTCATGAAAAAACATTTGCAGTTCGATCCTTGTGTGATAGACGGGATTTTAAGCATTAACGGAGGTTTCTTCTTCTGTTTCCTGCTCTCTACCAAATACCACAAGTTTGGTCCCTGTTCCTACTATCCACCACAACCAGACGACCGTTCCTTCTCTCTACGAAAACCAGAAGTCCAGTCGGTTGCGTACTATCTACCGCAACCCGACGGCAGCTTCTTCTCTCCATCGCAGCCGACGAGACAGTGTTGTTGCCTTCGCTCCCTGGCTGCGGGTGCATAATCGCGGAAGAGGTACTTAGCCCAACCTATTGAGATTTTAGAGCATTGAAAGGTTTCCCTTTGAGCATATTCTCACAAATTCGGTATATACTTAATAAACATGTACTGGGATTTTCATTGGAAGATTTATTCATCAAATCTAGGAAGCCGTTCTCTTCACCTTATCTGAATGTTTCTGATCTGAATTTTTTAAGTTCTGATCTGATCTGATCTGATTTTTCTGATCTGATCTGATCTGAATCTTTCTGATCTGAATCTTCCTGATCTGATCTGAATGTTCCTGATCTGATCTGAATGTTCCTGATCTGATCTGAATGTTCCTGATCTGATCTGAATGTTTCTGATCTGATCTGAATCCTTCTGATCTGATCTGAATCTTTCTGATATGATCTGATTTGAATATTTCTAAAATTATAATTACAATTATAATTACTATAATTATAAATGTAATTACACACATATATTTTAAATATAAATATAATTAGAATCATAATTATAAAAATTATAATTATAATTATAATATTTATTTCTATAATTTTAATTGTAATTACTCCGTATAATATGATAATAACGAAAACAAAACTGA